CAGCTTGTCTGATCGTCCTCGGCCACCTAGAGCTAGAGATGGCCTTTCTGGTGCTTTAGCTGCTCTTGCTGCAGCCGGCTTACCCAATCCATATGCCGGTATTCCCAATGCCCAGGCACGTCTCGCTGCCGCCGCAGCCGCAGCAAATCCAACCGCATCTACACCTCGCACTTCTCGTAGGGCAAAATCAAAGTCTGGTCCCGCCCCAACGCCTGCATCAGCCGACCAATCGACCTCGAATACACCGGTAGATAAACCTACTCGGCGCTCGGCTCGGCGCTCGGGAGCTCAAACTGATCCACCTCCCCCACCTCCACCACCCATGCAAGAAGAGGATGCCCTTGCTACGGCTCTCGAGTGTGCTGATGAGAGACAAATGAGTGAGGATGAGGAGTTAGAAGATAGCTCTGCACTGGACGCCATTGTCGGTGATATGGAAGAGGAAATGGAAGAGGATTCCCCTGTTGATCCTACAGCTGTAAATCTTGAGGTCGCTGCAGGTGGCAAGGTCACAGCCCGTAAGGAAGATGGCACAAGAGTCGCGACCCCATCACAATCTTTACCAAGCACTTCCCGCAGTAGCTCTGCACTTCAGGCAGCTGCTGCTCAAGAGGCATTGTCCACTCCAACCACATCGTCCAGACCTATGTCCTATGCAGCTGCAATCCAAGCTGTTCCATCGGATTGGCACATTGAGTTCAGTTTGGATGGCAAAGTAATTGCTAATGATACTACCATTTACCGCGCTGTTCATACCATGGCCAACACGGTGGAAGATCAATCAAGTCGAAGTGTTTGGTCCGCGATTCACCCCATTAAATTCAAGCGTGTTCCAGGGCCACCCCCTCCAGAGCCTAGCTCTCTCTCCCGGGCATCAGAGGCTAGTACAGAAACTACGGCATCTGGTATTCCCGCGTCTCTAGATAAGCATCCTGCAACATCCTCAATCCTTCGATTACTTAACATCCTACACGCCCTTAATGCCAACCTAGATGATGTTTTGGCTGATAATAAGGATGCTTTGAAATTAAATGCTGAGCCTTTGTCACAATTTGTGAACACTAAGCTCACTGCAAAGTTGAACAGGCAACTTGAGGAACCTCTTGTGGTTGCCAGCAATTGTCTTCCAACTTGGAGCGAAGATCTTGCTCGACTTTACCCGTTCTTGTTCCCCTTCGAGACACGTCATCTGTTCCTTCAGTCAACATCTTTTGGCTATGCTCGTTCAATGACTAGATGGCAGAATGCCCAATCTGCTGACGAATCCCGCCGAGACCGTCATCGCGATGAACGTCCTTTCCTAGGTAGGCTTCAACGCCAGAAAGTCCGGATATCTAGATCGAAGATTTTGGAATCAGCCTTGAAAGTCATGGAGCTTTATGGTGCATCCCAGAGTATCCTCGAGGTCGAGTACTTTGAAGAAGTCGGAACTGGTCTCGGGCCAACACTTGAATTTTATTCTTCGGTTTCGAAAGAGTTCTCCAAGAAGAAGCTCAAGCTATGGCGCGAGAACGATAACGATACCGATGAGTATGCATTTGGTGTCCGAGGCCTTTTCCCAGCACCTATGAGCGAAGAACAATCATTGAATGAGAATGGAAAGAGAATTTTGCACCTATTCAAGATGCTCGGCAAGTTCGTTTCTAGGTCCATGATCGACTCTCGTATTATCGACGTTTCTTTCAACCCCACATTTTTCCGCATTGGTGACGAATCGAATCCTGTGACTCCCTCTCTTGGTACGGTCAAAACTGTCGACCCTCAACTGGCCAAGTCTCTCAAGATGATAAAGAAGTTCTCTGTTGCGAAAAAGGCTATTGCCGAGGACTCGAGTTTGACAGCTACTCAGAAAGTCCTTGCTACAGAAGCTTTGGAAATTGACGGGGCTAAGATTGAAGATCTCAGTCTGGACTTCACACTTCCTGGATATGCCATTGATCTTCTTCCCGACGGCTCTTCAATCTCTGTCACTATTGACAACGTTGATCTCTACCTTGAAAAGGTTATTGATATGACTTTGGGAAGTGGTGTTCAAAAGCAAATCGATGCATTCCGTGAAGGCTTCACTCAAGTCTTCCCATATTCTGCTTTGAGGGCCTTCACTCCGGATGAGTTGGTTATGTTGTTTGGCAGAGTTGAAGAGGATTGGTCTCTTGAAAGTATGTTTAGTCCCCTTTGATTGTATGATTTAATAACACTAACATGTGCATAGCTTTGACCGATTCTATCAAAGCAGACCACGGCTTCCATATGGACAGCAAGAGTGTGAAGAACCTGCTCCAGACAATGAGTGAGCTCAGTCTGCCAGATCGACGGGATTTCCTTCAATTCACAACTGGAAGCCCAAAACTCCCCATTGGTGGTAAGTTATATATGCCTGTATCCCTTTTCTACGACAACTGATAGCTAACTTATTGCAGGCTTCAAGAGTCTTACACCAATGTTCACTGTGGTTTGCAAACCTAGTGAACCACCCTACTCTTCCGATGACTATTTGCCAAGTGTCATGACATGTGTCAACTATCTCAAATTGCCCGATTATACTGATTTAGATGTCATGCGACGACGTATGAGTACTGCCATTAGGGAAGGACAGGGAGCTTTCCATCTGTCATAAGGCGCATGTTAATGGCGAAAATTGAACTGAATCTGGCGTGCATTAGGTCTGGTCAAACATGGAATAAGATTTTCGGGTATTTATTCTCATTGGAGGATGAACAAAAATTGGGGGGATTTGGTTGGTTTTGCTTACTTTGAACCGAGCCAAACCAGAATGTATTCACGAGCTATTTTTTGCAATTGTTTCTTTCTTTTTTCATCAGCCAGAATCATTTTCTTCTTCATGCCTTCTATCTACTTACTTTTTTTGTAATGGAAGTTAAAGAAGAGAGAAAGGAGTCAAATTGCATGGGTGGGTCGTTTGGGCGCATAGTTTGTAAACCGGTTTCTCCTGTCCGGAACTTGAAGGGGAAAGGTTTGCAAATATGACTGGAATGGACTGGTGCACAGGATGGGATGGGATTTTAGCTTTTTATTAGGTAGCCTTACTTCTACAAATACTACTTTGCAAACACTAGTCTTGAGATTAGATATTAGGTAGATGAATTGATCCACTCACATATTAATAGGCATTTGGGTGATGAGTGTGACTGGGATGTGAATGTGAATGTATGTGTTGCGTGTGATTATGAGAAGGGGGTATATTCGATTAGAGCTTTGTGATTCAAGTACTACCGGATGTACTTACAAGTCAACTATTCAACAACACTATCTATTATTAATAAGACCCACCCTACTTATATATAGAATCCTAAAGGTGCAGCCCTCATGATGAGATTGATTGATTAATATCAATGCATTTGATATCTCTTGGGTGCAAATTTTGATGGATAACTATATTTTTTTTTGTCTTCTACTTTTCTTTTTATGAAAGATAAAAATAAGAGGCTAGCTAGCTAGGTATTTAGGGTTGTTGATTTATTAAATTCTTGTTTGGGTTTTTGTTTGGAGGGGGAGGGGGGGATTGAATGGTAGAAGGGGGGAGGGGGGAGATTGGAGATGAAAGAGGATGTTTTTTGGAGAGGAAGGGGGAGGAAGAGGAGGGGGTATAGGGGAGGAAAAAGAGAGGAAAAAGAGAAGAGAGGAGTTTTGAAAGTTAAGGTTTTGAGTTTTTTGATTATGAGAGGTTTTTGGTATTAAGCTAGTATATATAGTGTTGATAAATATTTAGTAGTTGGTATGTAGGTATAGTCGTTTGAATTAGCGATGTCTAGGTAGGTAGGTGGGGTTAGGGCTGGATTTGATTGTGGGATCTGGGATGCTGGAGTTGGGTTTTTGTGGGATGGGAATGGAGGGTTGGAAATGAAGGGTTGGAAATGGAGGGTTGGGAGTAGATGATAGAGAGATAGAGGGTAGAGGGATAGAGGGTAGAGAGATAGAGGGATAGAGGATAGAGGATAGAGGAATACATATCTACTCGAGTAGATAGCTTGGAGACATGATGTGGAATTAGACGGTATATATGGAACAAAAAAAGTTAAGGTGATAAATGATAGTGGACGGTTAAGAGTTATTGCGGTATTTTTCAGGGTTCGTTTGGATTGCTAGAGATTGTTATGTGATATTATATATATAGGAAATGATATATTGTTGAAAAGAGAAGTGTTGTGTAATGAGGGTTAACAGGGCGAGATAGTGAGATAATGAGATGACATTTGTTATTTAAGGTTTTGAATTAATAGTCATATATGTCAAGTTATATTATTGTATTATATAATATAATACATTAAAATATCTAGATATCTATATAATATTTTATAATAATCTTATTCTAAATATTTATAGTTATATATTAATAAACATCTAAAATAGCAAATATAATCTCAAAGCTACTATATAGAAAATACAATTAATATAGTTGTAAAGTCTTTTGTATTCTATTTTGGTTGTATATAATGTTGTATAATATCACTTGAAATGATCGGCATATTGAATTCGGAACTCTATTGTTATTACATGTTATATCATTCATGTAAAGATTCAGATGAAATGGATTATTATTATTCCTATCTATACTAGCTGCGTCTTCTAAAAACTTATCTTGAGCGCGAAAATTACTTGAATGAATGAATGAATGAGATAGGAAAGTATGGAAGATTTCAACCTATTGACAGTTGGCTCAAAAATTAGTCTGCTAGTAGGTAGGTATTGAGAGCAATTTATCGGTTTCTGTTTATCTCGAATAATTCCTAGTTGGCAACTCTCTGGGAATTCAATCGTCCGGCGTTAGATGGAAATTACTGGTTCTCGATGATCAGAAGATTTTGATAAAGTTATGCAGATTCTAGACGGGCGAGGGGCTGACGGGGTCGTGTGACAATGTTTCGCACTGTTGAAATATAGGAATTAGTCATGATTTTGCAAGTAGTTTGGAGTATGGTTGATAGACGTAAGCTGTAATTGCGGTGCAGAATATTACTAGTTTTAATACTCAAATCGAGTCAATTAGATGATTGGAAAGTAATCTTACCTTCCTGTTCCAATAGACTCATTCCCAAATAACAACGTCGCTTATACTCTTCCACGAGAGACTGATCGAGAATACCCGTCTTGGCGGAGAAGTCATCGATTTCATCCAAACACCTTCCTTTGAAACAGCATGGAAAATCACCTGAATGTGGGTGCTGCTGGTGATTGGAAGTTGTTATATGAAAATTTTGAAGACCGCAGATAGAATGTAAAGCATCGAGGCTCTTACTACCATCCATCAAGATAAATGGAGATTGATTATTCGGCCCATCAAAGCTGTTGAGATAATTTTTGTATCGGTCCATATTGATGTATAAGCTATGCAGACCATGGCAGCTGCCAAGAGTGTAGTATGCGGCTTCTGTATCTCGCAGACGCTGTGGAGTGTGAGTAAAATGTCTCAGGCTCCAGGGAAAATCGGGACTTCCCATCACAAACCCGTATGTAATATCCACAGTCAAGTAGATTGATTTGATAGCATTACGTTGCTTGGAAGTGAGAGTTTTCAAGATGATCAGTTCTTCAAGTGAACAAAATTCAAATGTGTTGTCTTTGAAAAGAATATCTGTGGCGTCGATGATGTTGCGGAAGCTAGCACATGTTATCTTCAGAGCTCTGTATGTCTGAATTTCTTTTCCCTTCCCGCGGGCTTTTCCCGAACAACGTCTAATGCGGCCTCTTTGGTTTCCAGTCTTGATCTTGAGTATGCACATCGGGAGGGTCTCATGATGAGAGTTTGTGGTGCAGGCAAATCTGAGAATCTTGGTGATAAGTTCGACGGGCAATTTCTCGAGCAGGAGACTGGTATTGTCACTGCTCTGTCTGGTGCTTTCGTTTTCTGACTCGATGACAGTTGTGGTTACCGGAAGTTTACAGGTATTGAGATCATTGGTGAGATTGTCAGGGGGCTGCTTGTGAATAGAGCGTGCTTCTTCCGATGAAAATCTGACCCAAGGCTCTGTCTTTATTGATAGATCAGTTGCGGTCATTTTGGTGTCCATTCCGATGTGTTCTTGGTGTGAAAAGAACATTTGGAGATCTTGGTATAACTTTAGAGATAATCCTATGATGCTTCTCGCCAGTGTGTAAAGTTGTTGTTGGTATCAACTTGGTTGATAAGTGTAAAGTACTTTAATTTACTTTAATTTACTATGATGTAATCGTTCTTGATCATTTTTAACTATGGGAAGCTAGTACTACCTATAAGGAAGCGCTAGCACCTCGCTTGCTAATACAGTGCCCTCCTAGATCACATGATCGATATCCCGCAATTGTTGTTGTGATTCTTGATAATCAGAATCCATCAAACTCAGCGGGAATACTATGCATATATATAACTTTAAGAGTCTCAAAATATTGTTGAAAGCGCTAGAGCTCTGCGGCTCTATAGCATTACGACTCTCTTTCTTTCTGTATATAGATTTATTAAAGTCTGGAACTCGAGTAGTCTGCAAATGCCTGAAGCTTAAAATAATTTAGTGAATCATTCATCAGTAACTCAAGACTACTCTAGAAATTAAAGATATATCTGTATTGATTTTCAGGAACGTCGGAAGTATTATATTCAACGTAAGAAGTGAGAACGGCACCCCTCCTATGGAAAAGTGTCTCCAAAAGAGACACTCGAACCTTTTGATTAAGCTACTACACATTTGCGTATTTTAGGGTGGAACCAATATGATTCAGAAATGCTTTCAAATTCGAGTGGGGCTGCTTGTAAGTAGAGAATTTCTCCAAATAGTAATCATACAGTAATAATAGAAAGATTGACTGATAGTAGCAGTGAATATTTATTGACTATCATTACACAGGAAAGAATCTTCATTGTGTATATAAAAATACACCATTTTTAATATTCTTTATCAACCTTGATCTTGTGTTTGATAAAATTAGTACACTTTAACTCCAGTAAAACGCTTAGATTAAGCTCTCGAATCTTCATAGCTCATCATGCGACTCGTCCCCATAGACTTGCTCCTGGAACTCATAGTCCCAATTCGGTGGGTTCAACATATATTCCTTTGCTCTTCTTGCCGCCCCTACTGCACTGACCCACGCCGGGTCGATACCCTCGCTGAATCTATCAGTAAAATCTGGGATAACTTTTATGATTGTCTCGCGAATTTTTTGAAATTCCGATGCGGGCGCGTTGCCACTGAAGATGATGCGTCTGAACTCTGTGAGCTCTGGTGGCTGAGAATCTGAGAGTGCTATTTTAACAAAGTATTTCAGACGGGCTGCAAGGTGTTCAAGTTTCTCGAGCTGTGATACATCGTTAGCCTCTTGGTTCGCAAATATCAAATGTTGGTCTTAGCAAAGACGTCTTAATAGATGAATCTTAAGGGATCTTGAATAGACAAATCTCGAGTGCTTCATAGACCTAAAAAATATGCTCTTACAGAAGCAATCTGTCCCACACCTCCAAAGTCGGGAATTTTGAACCTTTGTTCCACCAAACTTATTTTCGTCCCTCCATCAGTTATTGAGACCTCAAGACGACTATCTTGATAGTCGAAATGTAACAGGAGATTGGACTCTTGGTCAATGTCAGTTCCTGCTGGGTATCCAAGGGCTTCTGCAGTATTGAGGCGATATCCTAATCTCATGCTATGGAGATAATTTCGTAATTGCGAGCCGTCTTTCATGCCAGGCAAAAGCTCGATTGCGACGTCTAGTAGATTGTTGAGATCTCCAATCATAACATCATGATACGTAATACCGAGTACTTCAATCGGTCTATTGAGTTTGGTTTCAGTTGCTTTCTGAATAGCCGATAGTGTTACTTTGAACAGTTTTTTCAGTTCTGAGTCCGAATATATCTCTTTTTCGCTGAGCTGTGTTAGTTAAACCAGACATGGCAAAGATTCAACACAGATGAGTAGTTCCCTCTAGACATACTGTTTATAGCCGTTATCCCAATAGCCAGGCTTGGAAGAGGTATAATTCTTCCACTCTTGTGTGGTATTGACCTTGGCCACCATTACAAAATCATCACTTTCGTTAATGTATGCTGATGTTCTAGTTCAAAGTCAGTAACAGCAAATAATTATATACCAACGAATGAAAATTACTGACAGGCAGTCTATTCCAAGAGCAATACCAATTGCTGAAAAGTTAATAAAATGTTAGTTTGAACATATTTATATACACGAATAGCATAACTGACGAAAGTGATTCAAGGAAGCCCATGCAGATCCAGCCAATGGAGCTAAACTGCAGGCGAGAAGGTATGGAAAGAGCCGATACATCGTGATTGAATCTGTCAATTATCTGAAATGTTTAGGCCAGTTGGTAATTCTCGAACTTCAAAATAAGAACAGTCTTATCGACAAAATGATGGGAGTTATGCGGAGGCAATGATGTATCAACGCCGCAGGTCTGCCGCAACAGTGATTCGAACAGCTACGAATCGAGTTCTCTCTCTCTTGACTGGAAATTTGCGATGATGGCTCATGAGGCCAATGACACTCCAACAGCCCGTAAGATTTTGAACAACAATCTGCCATGTCTCAACGGGAACGAACAGGTCATCGAGTGTTTCGACCAACAGTTGTAAGATATACAGGTATCAGGGTGTAGAGACTAGTCGTAAAAGCGGCGGCAAGGTGCAAAACAATATGTAGTTGGAAATTTATTGGTTACCACACACACATGCTGCAAGCGTCCAACAACTATGTCTCCGCCACCACAGATCCTCTCAATAGGTAACAGAGTCTGGAACCAACTATACTGTGGATTTGGAAGTGAGAGGTACCTGTGTGATGTACTTTGTGTATTAGGTAGCAAAAATAATCAGCTAGATGTGCTCTATCAATCTTTGATGCTCTTAATTATTTGAGGAGAGCCTGCCGAACATCAACAATTGGCTTGAGACTGATTCTGCCAGAGCGGTGTGTAATTTTATAACGTTTTGAGCACCTCTCATCATCAAATATACCATATTGGAGCTGGAATTACCGCGGCTGCTGGCATCGGACTTGCCCTAAAATCGTTTCTCGTTAAGGTATTTTAATTGTACTCATTCCAATCACAATACTAAAACGAGCCCTGTATACGCTTTGAGCTGAGCTCGCCAAGCTAAAAGGGATGGCCACTTTTCGCAGGTACCAACCACGCTATAGAACCACACATCTTCTCGCCAACAGTTGGCACCTCGACCCCTAGAAAATCGTTTCAGCTAGATTATTTACGAAATGGGTTTGCATGATGTGCCAAAGGCTTTCATGGAAGGCAAACTCGTAGTATCATTTTGAATTCTTCTTCCCATTCAGCAAATTAAATACGAGTACCTGCATGCCATAGATCTATTTTCTCGCTCCCATTTCAGCAACAAATAGCAACTCATAGTAATCGGTATTGATTCTAAAGTCTAAGAGGCACTCGAAAAATCTTGTATACCTCTGAGCCACCATCAATGGTTGTAACTGTGGTCATCGATTATCTGCTTCACTGACCCTAAATTTAGCAGGAGATCATGGAGCTCAGGGAATTCAGTCTTGAATTACCTTGAATATAGACGCTCCACGCTTTTACGTACTGAGTTGCACACAGTTGCAAAATTAGTTCACTCATCGGCCCTAAGTGCAGGCTGTAGAAGTTGAATTTGGGACGAGGACAGATTCCACTCTTTCATTTCTCCCTCGAGAAGGAATAAAGTAGGGGTATGAAGGCTCCAAGATGAAGTATTTTTCTGATACTCATTCTGTATACATACTTGCGTTAGTCTCTATTTAGTTTCTTTCTTTTTGAAAGTGTCCGATAGAATGCTGCAAATTAAGTTTACTCCGTTGGCAATCGTTCTTTTTCAATGTTCTTTGGTTTTATCTGCAGTATTACCTTCTGAGTATCTATTTGTCAGAGATGCCAGTATATCTAACGCTACCATCGAAAAGAGAGCCCTAGATTTGTCTGAAATAGCTATGCTCAATAACTTGCAAAATGCGTACAGGGGGGTCTGGTGGGCTACGGCGTATCCCAATGCAGAGCGGCCGTACGGGAGCAAGTATGTTGTATCGTGCGATGTAAGTTGCAGTTCTATGCTCATGACAAGAGTCTTTTGAGGTTCAACATTTGTAATTGATTCAATGTTGAGAATTCAATTGTCGACTACTTCCAATTTCCCAATTGCATTCTTAATACTCGAGTCCATCTGGTGGAGAACACTAGTCTGGAGTGATGAGTGCGTAACGTGATCTTAAATTTCCGCATGGCATCTTTTGTTAACCATCACTCGCAGATCGAAAATTTCAATATTCTTGTGGAAGCTACTCGAAACGCTGTGAGACTTGCCGAATATGCTGGGAGCGATACATTTTTGAAAGCCGCAGATACTTGAACGAGATTCTTGGTGGCCCAAAAGTATCCGAAGATAGTCTTGGGGCTTTGAGATATGTCTCGTATGAGAAAGTTATGCTTCATGAAGTAAGTATACACACTCATTCTCGGACTTCATTCTCCAAAACTGCGAAGCTAATTAACTTGGAATTAGTGGTTGCATCGTGACATAATGGGTTATAGTGAACATCGTAAGTTTTAGATCTTCGCAACGAAAGCATGTGCTAATAATTAATGACAGTTACAGATTTGTTTAATACGATCGATGACCATCTCCCAAAATGTTTAAGTTATCTAATCTTGTTGGCTCTAGTTTGGCGCTGAATGAGATGTAGAAAATATATGGGATGAGTTCAGCGAGAGACTATGCATGGAAATTTATGCAGCGTGATAAGATGAACATAAACCAGAATAATGTTGCTAATGGTACGTGTCACGAGGACTTTCTTATCACCACTTTCCACCCCATTTCGGCTTTCAATGCTTTGAAGAAGCTGACAATCAGACAGTGGAGAATTACGTCTGGTACTTTGTCGACAAACTTTACGGAAAACAATGGGGTTGGACAGGCAAAGGGACAGCCTACCCGGGAAGACTACTCGAACGTGGTTTCAACCACATGACCACTGTCGAGAATCTCGATCTTGGAGACGAGAGTACAGATCCTGCAATTCTGCCAAAACCAGTCTGGCCTGCAAATTGCCACGGTGAGGCAGTAATTTCTTGGAGGTTAGCTCTTATAATAAGAAGGAATAGTATTATTATAAGGATAGTGAAAGATCTAGTCAGTTTAAACTATAAGGATAAATCGAATATATAGAATAAAAATTGAATTGAAATCAATTTAAAAAAACTAAACTGAATTGAAATGAAATTGCTTGCTTTTTTCTAGAATTCCTTTAAAGAATATTCTAGGTTTATATAATTTATAATGAAATTCTAGTATATTCCATACTTATAAATAAAATCAATTTAAATTGTATCTTATAAAATCACTTTAGATAATAAAAAGAAAATACAATCAATCGATTTAACAAGATTTCCTGTATACTTCCATCTAATTCCATTTTATTCTATTCTATTATAAATCAATTTGATAAAAAATACTATTATACAACTATATAATAATATGATTTTATAATATAATATTATATCATATATGTATTAATTATCAATACATCCCTTATTTAATAAAATATTAATAAGTGATTTAATAAACTTATTATAAATCCTTATATACCCCCTTAATAGGTGTACTAAATCAATCTAATTTAGATTAATCTGATTTGTAAATTTGATTAATTTGATTCGAGTTAATGGTTTAATAAGCTTATTAGCTTTCTATTCATTAATAGATATATAAATTAGATCTAAATCTTCTAATTTAATAATATCCCTAATATAATAGAATCTGATTACTATATACTTGTTTTTTTCGTGGAATATAGGGTTTTTAGCAAGCGTTAGCACAGCCTGATTGTCCATATATAAAGAGAATTTATTCTGTTTATATAAATTAAGCTCTAATAGTAGCTTTTTAATATAAATAGTCTCTTTAGCAGTTAGGTTTATAGTAATAAATTTAGATTCGGCTGTAGAAAGGGCTACTATTGGCTATAATTTAGATTTCCAATTAATAGACCTATTCCCTAGCATAAATACATATTTGCTAGTGGATTTATACATATTAATCTCTTTTTTATAATCGGTGTTATAAAATCCTTAAATATAAAGATTTTTAATTTTATTATAATTTATATTTTTATTTATAGTTCCTTTTAAATATCTCAGTATTCTTTTAGTAGCTTGAATATATTCTACACTAGAATTGAACAAGAAACTAACTAATTTAAATATAGAAAATACTATATCTAATCTAGTTTCAAAAACTAAATATAATAAGAAGTTTATAATTTCTTAATATAATTTAATATTATTATTATTAGCTTTCCTTTTATTATAAATTAACTTTATTTTTAGATTTATTAAAATAGAAATAAGATTGGAATCTAGTATATTGAATTTAACAAGTACCTTTTTAGTATATTCTAATTGATATAATTTTAGTATATTACTAATTCTTTTAATTTGAATACCTAGATAGTTTTTTATAAAACCTAGATCCTTTAAATCGAAGTGTTCTTTTAGATTATTAATAAATTTATTAATAATCTTTTGATTTAAAGCTATTATAGCAATATCATCGATGTATATACTTAGAATTATATTCTTATTCTTATTAATAAAAATGTATTCCTTGGAGATTAGGTTTATAAAGCCTAATTTGTTTAATATATCTTTTAGAGTATAATACCATATCCTGACTGACTGTTTTAGGCTATATAAAGCTTTATTTAGCTTTAAAGCTTTATTCTTTAGTTTATTAAATCCTTCTGATGGACTTAATAAGAGTGATATATCGATATTGCCTTGTGCAAACGCTAGCACCATATCGATTTTATGAATTAGCCAATCGTTTTGGAGAGCTAATATGAATAAAAGCTTCCATACCATCGATTTAACTATCAATACATGCATATCAATATAATCTAATTCATATAACTATTCAAATCCTTTAGCAACAAATCTAGCTTTGAATTCAATGAATTCACCTGAATCCTTTATTTTATATATCTATCTAGTTCTTAGAGTTTTATTATTATTAGGATTATCAATAATATCCCAAATTCTATTGGATTCAAGAATGTTTATTTCGTATTCTATAGCTTTTAGCTAGTATTCCTTTTCCGAAAAGCTAATAGCTTTTTTGTAAATCTTAGATTCAATCAATACACAATCTGGCTTATTAATAATAATCTTTTTATTATTTTTAAGCTTAGTATTGAAAGCTAATTGAAGATCTTGTTGATCTATTTCGATATTCACTTTCTTATTAATTAAATTAAAGTATCCGGAAAAAGCAAGTCCATAATAGAAAACCATATGTTTTTTATTATTATCAAAACCTTTATTATCAGGAATTAGATTTCTTATATGTTTAGATTGTTGTATATTAGGTTCTATTGCTTTATTAGATATAGGTTCATTAGGAATAGGCTTACCGAAATCAACCTCTATATAATTGATTATTTCATCACTTTTGTTGTTTTTGTCTATTTCGGGATTAGCTTGATACCTATTAATGCTAGTGATATCTTCATCCTTTATATTATCTTAAATAGGTTCAAATTCGAGGTCTTCTTCTTTCAATAGCTTTAGATCCTGGTTTTTATATTTATTAGAGTATATAAGGTTTTTTTGAATATCGACATTTCTTAAGCTAATTACTTTCTTATTGGCTGGAATATAGATTAAGTAATTATTAGATGAATTAAAGTCTACTAGTATACCTTTCCAAGCTCTAAAATCCAGTTTTCCATTACAAATCTTTTTATTATTAATAATATAAGTAAAAAAATCTAGGATTTTAATATAGTTTAGATTGGGCTTTTTATTATATATTAATTTGAATAATAAATTATTAATAGAATTATTATATATTCTATTTTTGATATAAGTAATAATTTTAATTAGATATAATTATAAATAAAGTAGAATCTCTTTTTTCTTAATTATATAGATTAGTCTTTCAACTATATATTTGTTTAGTATTTTGGTTATTCTATTCTGGGAGTGAGTGTACGGGCTAATATATTTGTATATAATCCTGTGATTTCGAATAAAATTTGATTATTTATTCAAAAAGAATTCAAAAGTATTATTTAATTTTAATATTTTAATATTAATATTAAATTAATTTTTAATTAGATTGTAGAATTTTATTAGAATATTATAGGCCTAGAATTTGAATTTAATGAGATATACCCAAATAGTTCTAATAACCTAATTAGTGAATACTAGAAAGTATTTTTTATTTTTAATTTTTGTAATTCTAAAAGGTCCAATTATATTTAAGCTGAATTTTTCGAATTTAAAATTTATTTTAGAGATTTCAAAAGATTTCTTACTTATTTTCTAATAAAATTTGCCGAATTTACATGATTCATATATTTCTAAATCAGATTTAGCTATATCTAATTGGATATTTAAGGATTTAATAATATAATCTTTATTTATATAACCTAATTTCTTATAGATTAAATTGAGATCGATTTTATTTAATAATAAATTCGATTTTTGAATTAATTCCTTTTCCATTTCAAAAATATTAATACTTTTAAAATATTTAGAATCTACCTTAAAATTAAAATAATATATATCAATTAACTAAAGAGTTATAGTTTGTATATTAGCCTTTTTATAAATAATATTAATCTTATTTTCAAAAAAAAACAATATAACTAGATCACCCTTTTTAAACTATTTTATTCAAATTGATAAGATTAGAAACTATATTGGAAATATAATACACCCCCTACAACAGTATCTCTGATTTATTATTAATTAGAATAAGAATATCTCCTATACTATTAATACAAAGCTTTTTCTTATTAGCTACAATAATGAAATAATTGTTTAATAACTTATAGTTTATAAATTATTCCTTATTGAATGAATAATGCTCTATAGCATTTGAATCTAATATAAATTTATATTTAGATTTAAAAAATTGATTAGCTAAATTTATATAATAATTTATAGTTATTAATTGCTTATTAGAGATAGATTTATTCGAATCTTTTTTCGAATCTTTATTTGAATTTCTATTCGGATTTGATTTATGTTGTTTTTTATTATTCCCTTTATTAATCTTTAATTCAAAATATTTTATAAAGCATTTCAACTCTAAATATTTCTTTTTAAAATAATATTTGTAATAAAAAGCTTTATTAAAACTTATTTTATTAGCATTTAGATTAATATTAGATTGTATTTTAGTCTTTTCGGATATTAGCTCAAAAAAAAGTTTATTCAAATCAATACTAGTTGTATTTTTAGCTAGTTTTTTGTATTTTCGAAAAGCAAAACTGTCGAAAGAGCTAGGTAGGTTTTTAAAAAGAAACTATATTATAAAGGCATTTGGAATATCGAAATTCATTGATTTTAGATAATTATACAATAATTGGATTGAATTAATATATTTGTTTATTTCTTTTGAGCTAGTATAATTAGATTTTATTAGTCTATTTAAATATCTTTCTATTAATTCAATAAAGAACTTTCTAAACATTTTATTAATAAAATCTTATAGGCTTTTAGCTATAATTTCCTTGAATCTTTTGATTAATTCAAAACTAATTATGGATTTAATAGCTCCTAATACCTTTCTTTCGTTTCGCTGATATTCTGAAAGCCTTTCATTATATTTTATAGTTAATTTAGGTAAAATAGGTTCCCCTAATTTGTTTATATATAGATTTTTATTAAATGGAATCTCAGTATTATTGATATATAGTATAAAGCTATTTATTTTGAGAAAAAGCTTAGCTCGGTTAATTCATTCAATATAATTAAATCTGCCTTTTAGAGGATTAGATTTAAAATTAATATTAGGAGTTATTTTAAATCCTTTATAGATTAATTAATTTTATACTAATTAAATACTAATCTAAATATATAACTAGTTTCGGTTTTGAATAGATTAAGTAAATAAATCAATTTAAAATCGATTTTAATTTCGAGAATTAAATAGATTAGTTATTTTTTAAATTAAATTTTTATTTTAATTAATATAAAATAAAGACTAAATAAGCTAGGGTATTTTGATATAAAGAAGATTGATATATCACTTGCTATAGGTAATAATATAGTATAAATATATCATTTAGGAATCTAATTTTATATACTCAATTAGATTTAGCTTCAGGGATGTAGGTTTCAAAATCTATACAGTAGTTTTTGATATAAATTTGATTGAATTGATTTGAAAAATTCGATATTCGATAGTTTAATAGCAATACATATATAATATATAGTTTTAAATCAAGCTAATTCCTTTTTTAAATTAGTTTAGACTAGTTGGGCTTATAATCTCTTAAAGGTTAGCTTTTATAATAAAAAGAAATAGTATTATTATAAGAATAATAAAAGATTTAGTTAATTTAAACTGTAAAAATAAATCGAATATATAGAATAAAAATTAAATTGAAGTCAATTTAGAAGAGCTAGGTTAAATTGAAATGAAATTGCTTGCTTTTTTCTAAAATTCCTTTAAAGAATATTCTAGGTTTATATAATTTATAATAAAATTCTAATATATTTTATACTTATAAATAAGATCGATTTAAATTGTATCTTATAGAATTACTTTAGATAATAAAAAGAAAGTACAACCAATCGATTTAGTGAGATTTCCTGTATACTTCCATCTAGTTCCATTTCATTTTATTCCATTATAAATCAATTTGATAAGAGATACTATTATACAGCTATATGATAATATGATTTTATAATATAATATTATATCATATGTGTATTAGTCATCAATATATCCCTTATTTGATAAGATATTAGTAAGTGATTTAGTGGACTTATTATGAATCCTCACATAATTGATGCTGATGACACTAGTGCGATTATTTGCGATTATGTCATACCACTAGGTGACGAATCGTCCTCATTTTCTACACCTGTAGCTTCTGCAACTTCTACATCAGCACCTGTCATTACGTTACCACCGGATCCTAAGAATTGTAGTTCTAATGAGGACGGATGTACAAAAGAATCGCCCGCATGTTACGACGATGGCACTTGCTAGGTCCTGGAGTACTGGCTTGCTTGTACACTATGTCGCAGATGGAATTTTCTTGTCAGATTGGGTTTAATGTCAAATCAACTCGAGGTGTTACATTTGTTTTTGGGAGTCTGATAGGTTTCAAGTCTAGACTGCGGTTGTTCATAATTGTAGATTATATGTGAAGTGAGTTCTGAAATTTCTCATCCAGAGAATATATCAGCTAGCTCCAAGAGTTCCTTCCACCTTGTGTCCTTTTGGATTTCAATCTTGCCCTCCGGAGTAGCAACTTTAAACTCATCGATCTCCTTAGGACCATATCGATGGTCATTCTCAGCACCTACAAATGCGACCAAGTCACGAATCCAATTCGTCATCAGAACGAGTTCTTGCTCAGTTGGACCGTGCATTATTGAGAAACTATTCGGAGTGAGAGATGTGTCAGTCAAATGCTGTCTCTGTACTTTTTCTTTTCGACAGAAAGACTTACTTCCAGAAAGGTTTATCCATCGCATGAGCCACACCAAAGCTTCTTGGTGCTACAGCATCTGTTATGAATGAAAGTCGATACGAAATCCTATACCGCCAGATATCCTCAACTCCTACACCATTTGAGAAAAGACTGTTTGCCAAAAACCGAGATGGTGCGCGCACTTGACCATCAGAAATGATATGACCATATACTGCCGTCCAATCGCTCTTATCGTCTGTATCTGGGAGTTTATAGTGTTTCAGCACGCGAGACGTTGTTGCAGGTGCATAGTAGTTAGAAACTTGAAGGCGAAGAGAGTCCACGTTTGCTTCAGGACCATTCGTTGCAGCGTAAAGTGTTTCTTCATTCAACATTTCGCCAATTATTATCTTGAAATTTCGCTTCTTGAATTCTTCCGCAAAAGTGCCATTGCGGTGGTAGTCCATCATGCCTGGTTGAATGAATGATGAATCCGTCACAGGTCGGAATGTGTGATTCTTCAACTTCATGATGGCGTCTACAAGTTTTTTCGACTCTATCCTGCGCAGCAATGCCAGCTTTTCGGCACCACTAGAGCCTTCTGGAATATCAAAGAACTGACACAATTCGTCGAACTGGCTTTGACATTCAGCAGGTGTCTTCGGTTGTGCGGGGATCGCGTTTGACATCATGACAATTCGATGGAATGATGGAGACGCGGCTGAAAATGCTGGGTTTTGAAACTCGTACATAGCATGTGCATGTACGGCATAAGCGCCTGCGCTTCTGCCTGCAAGGGTAATGTTCTCCACATCACCACCAAATCTTGCAATATTCTCGCGTACCCAATCAATAGCTAGTCTCTGATCCCATAATCCGTAGTTGCCTGCTTCGGCACTGCCGTTCTCTGCTTGCAAGGCATCACCAGCGAGAAAGCCAAACAGGTTCAGTCTGTAACCGATAGCTACTACAATAGCGTTCAACTTTCCCGTTGAAATGAGTTCGGTTGGATCCATTCCCGGTTCATGTGATGGGTCTCCCATTTGAAACCACCCTCCGTGGAGCCATAGCATAACTGGCCATTTTTTATCTTTGGCTGCTTCAACCGGTGTCCAGATGTTAAGTCTCAAGCAATCTTCGCCAAATGCCTCTTCAGGAGTTCCTATTTTCTTGGCTGACATATAAGCGGCCTGTGGACAAATCGGTCCAAATTTTGTGGCATCGAATGGCGTGCCATCATGTGATGTATAAGTATGGTCAGCAGGTAGTGGTTGAGGTTTCCGCCAACGCAAATCTCCTAAGGGAGGCAGTGCATATGGTACCCCAGCGTACCGACGTGCCTTTGTATCATATTGAAGACCTGTGATAGAACCTTTTCCGTCGCCAAGATCGAGCTTATGCTCGGCAACGTTGTATGATATAGTATTACCCATGACGCCGGAGGAAGATGTTAGGCTATCTTAACGATTTGGAGAAACTGAATTGATCTTAAGGCAAAGATATAACGAGATATTCAAAAACTTTGCAGGTGAAAATAGAAGAGGTCGTGTATGGCAACGACCCTGCTTGAACAATTGTGTAAATGTGTTCTATCCCACTTGATGACTCTCTCGCGATAAACTGACTTTCAAGCCCACTTTCACTTCAAGAGTCCGAACATTTCCATATCAGTAGTGAGATTGATATAAGGTAAAGATAAAAAAGGTATTAATATGTAGGGTCGTGTTTTCCCTCTAAGAGGAGAAATGACAGATACGAGAGCACATCGTGTATTTCAGCCAATCAAACCCTGCAGTTACCGACGTCCCCTCGCTTAATCATTTGGAGTCTGTGTCCTCTGATAGTGTTTCAGTGTGGAGAAAGTGGGGGTCCAGTGGATTATCTTCAATCTTCATTGTGCTGTGCACCAACTTTGTCATCAGAAGATACAATCATCGACGAGCTAGGGAAACTTCATGCAATTTGATCGTATATTTTACACTGATTCACAAGCTCAAATGTGCTGACGAATCGAGGGGTTGTCGAAATCTCTCAAGAACATTTTCTATCAATCATACTATGTGTATCATATTGCCAATTTGTATGACACTCTAATCGTGCCGGTCTCTCCATCCATGTCCGATAATATCAGTTCTAAACGAAAACGATCGAGCACGACTGGTCGTTCCAAATACGGTAAGTGATCCAGCATCAATACAGTCAAGCACTTGCTAATGGTTTGATCGAAAGGCTGCTTGACTTGCCGTGCAAAAAAAGTCAAATGTGATGAGCGTCTTCCTTCATGCGGAAGATGTGAGCGTTTGAAGCTTGACTGCCAGCAGCCGTGCTCCCGTACTCTACCAAGTGTAAGAGAACGAAGACGAGGTGCTGGCCCAATAAAGTCTCGAGATTCTGACTGGTCTCCTCAGCCACTTTCACCAGCTTTACAAGTATCAGAGGAACAACCACAAGGATCAGAAGCACTGTTAAATCATTATCTTTCGGGATATGACCATGGATTGGCAGCAGCATCAGCATCTTCATTTTCAGTGGGACATCCTGAAGGCGTATCTCAAAACCAGGCGCCAGTAATTGAGACAGGGGCAGATATGTTGTTGGACTCGGTTGCCGAATGGTTACTTCCAGACCCTCAGAGCTTGAATGTGTATACTCGCACAAATTACAGCCCTCTATCTTTTGAACCGCTTGCTATTGCGAATATACCGACACAAGAGAGGTCGCTGGAAAATGGGATGTCCTTGAATAACGACGAGGAGTTGGCTCTTACACACTACCGAACAGCATTCTCACTATCTCAAACGACCAGAGATCCGCAATGGTCTACTCCTACCTTATTGTTAATTCATGCACTGAAGCACTCGGAGATGCTTCTTCATCTCATATTAGCTGTTTCACTCCACGATATGCCTTCCAACCCTGACAGTGTTAGCCGTCTTCGCCAGATTGGGCACAAACATTACGAGAAAGGCACGGAGCAACTCATGCAAGCTTTGCAGTGTGAGAATCCCGCAGATCATCTCGCAATACTGGCTGCTTTTTACTGTATACATATGTATATGTCGCGATCGAATGGTACAATTATATCAAAATTAGACCGACTGAGTCTTACGGCAATAGAACATCTGACAAAGCATAATTTGATAGTACCAACAAATGCTCAATCATCTTTAGCCAACCAAAGCTCGACTAAAAATGGTGCAGAGCGAAGTCTGATCGCTCGTATTATTATGTGGTTGCTAAAAATGGATGCTCAAGGGAGCTTTTTGGGGTGCAAGCCTAACTTGGCAAACCATTTTCAAGCACATCCTGATCAACTTTTAGCAGTACAGGCGGAATCTCGTCTTGCTCTACAACTGAACTGGGGAGCAGAATATCCAATATCACAAAGCATTCGAGATATTGAGAGTTGTTTACCAGTCGATATGATGTCTGATATGCTGATCCTATGTTGCAAAATTAGCGAATTCGGTCATAAACCTCCGTGTACTGAGGTAGATTTAATGCAAGAAAGTCTGCAAAAAGAGTTCGCAGCGTTAGAAATAGTAAGTTGTTACACATCTGGGAAAACTAGTACTTACTTATCGTAGCGTTATGGTGCTGTGTTTTACTATGGATCTTCAGATATGACCTTGCAACCAGCCATGAAGCTCAATTGTGCAAACTCAGCTACCATGTTCTACGCTTTGCAGATATATTTCGCCCGATGTAGGTCAAGTCCGTTCGGAGCAGAAAGTTCGACTGAGATCAAAACCGCTCTGAGCCAACTCCTTCGATTCGCCATGTACGTTTGTCCTGCGGGATCGCAACAACCGGTATACGAATTTCAATGGTCGTTGTTCATTGCAGCCATTGAGACAGATGACATGATTCATCAAGAATGGTTACAGGGTCGAATCACTGATCATCGCCTTCGCAAATCACTGCAAGGGATTTCTACATTCAAGCGGAACAATCTGGGAATCATATCTTTGAGTAAAGTAAAAGAAATTATCCTAGCTATATAACCTTATTGATCAAACGTATTTAAATTTTAGATATTGACATCGTACTACATTAATTTAATGTACTTGCTGGATTTCCAATTGAAATTGAACACGGCACTTCGGACGTCTCAGAACTAGATGAGACGAGGGGTTACGCATATGTCAGCTTCAGACATGCATGTACGACAAGCGATCTTCGAATTCTTCGATTTGAACCAACCAAACATCAGTCATGGTTTCATACAGACTAGTAGATTCACCAATTACCACAACACAGTCACCTTAATTGGAGGAATAGTATCACGTGAACATTTAAAAGATAAGCACGTCCCACGAATTGATATGGGGCCGATAACGGCGAATACATCGTGGTTTATCTCGTCGTCAATTCTGGCGAATCACCAGCCAGGGTTACCGAGTATCACGACGTCTTGGAGATTTTCCCCAACATTCCCCAGTGCTCAATATCACAACTTTCTAAAATAGTTCTTTCGTTACTGATAAGAACAAAGATAGCACTCTGAGCTCTCCTGAACATGTTCCATCTTAGCCTCGAGCAATTGGCATAGATATAATTCCTCGAATGCCCACTAGGGATGATTCTGACTTCAGATTTCATTCAACACTCTATTCTCGATCATGACTTCAATTGACAAAGGAAAGGACCTTAGCGGAGACGCTGTCCGTACTGATTCAAATGCTTCTCAAGCGGGAAAAGACACTGAGAACATGGAAATCGGTGAAGTTTATTGCCATCCGACAGCCGCAGAAGAGAAAGCACTATTGAGAAAGATTGACTGGCGGCAAGTAACACCATCTCGATGTAGTACAAGAAATCTAACAGACAAAATAGTTTGATGCCATTACTGACGGCCTCCTATTTTCTGCAATTCCTCGATAAAAGCAGTCTTAATTATGCTTCAATAATGGGTTTGATACCTGACACTGGGCTTGTGGGACAGGAATATTCATGGTTAGGAAGTGCTTTCTACTTTGGCTATCTGATAGCCAACTATCCAGCCTCCTTGGGCTTCGTCAAGTTCCCATTGGCGAAGTACCTCTCGGTTTCAATTGTCATCTGGGCCATTGTCTTAGGATGTCATGGAGCTGCCAATAACTTTGTTGGACTGTGTGTTCTCCGCGTTCTCTTGGGAATCACGGAGAGTACTGTCAGTCCCGGGTTCAGTTTGTTGACAGGAATATGGTATAAGCCCTCTGAGCATGCTTGGAGACACGGAATATGGTTTTTGGGAAACGGAATTGCCAATACCTTTGGGGGCTTACTAGCTTATGGTATTGCTCACATTGGAGGAAACTTGGGATCATGGAGGGTGAGTCATCTTCCAAATTAGTATCGGCATTGGTACCTAACGCATACATCGTAGTGGCTATTTATCATTTTCGGTTTGATTACTATTGCCTGGGGTGTCCTACTTTATTTCACTTTGCCAGATGCCCCCTTGACAGCTCGATTTCTCACTCAACGCGAGCGAGAAATTGCTGATCGACGACCGCAAAAGACACAACATAGTTTCAAGACAAATGAGTGGTCGAGATCTCAATGCATCGAGGCTCTTATTGATCCTAAAACATGGTTAATATCCCTCATTATCGCCGTGGCATCAATTACCAATGGTGTAGTTTCAAATGTAAGACCCTTCACTGCAATAATGTTGTTCCTGCACTAATGAATCAAGTTCGGATCCTTGATCATCAAATCCTTCGGTTTTGGCCAGCTGGATACTATCTTACTTGGCATGCCCAACGGAGGTTTCCAAATTGCAGCTGTGATTGCTGCGACCTACACAGCTTCGAAAGTTCGAAGGTCTCGTCTCATGATTATCGTTGTTGGATACATATTTGCTTTGGTTGGGATATTGTTGGTGAAGGAACTTCCAACATCCAACAGATATGGACGTTTGGTCGGATGCTGGATGATGATCTTGTTTTCCTCTGCCTTCCCTCTTCTTCTCAGTTTGATGGCTAGCAGTGAGTTGAATCCTGCCATGAGCTTTTTAATTATTTCTCTTAGCACTCCATGTGGACTAATACCTTCGCACAGATACAGCAGGATTCACCAAGAAAACCACCGTCAATGCTATCTTTTTCATCGGATACTGTGCTGGCAACATTGGCGGGCCTCAGCTATTCAAATCCGCAGAAGCACCGAATTACCACGTATGGACTCTCTAACCTATCATTCGATTGTTGAAAACTAACTAGTGTAACAGACGGCATACAACGGCATGATCGCTTGCTTGGTCATCTCCATTGTGCTATCAATCATTTTAAGACAGTATATGGACAGGGAGAACAAACGACGCGATCGAGAACAGGGAGTTTACATTGATCCTGAGCCAAAACATGTAGAGGATATTGATGATGTGGATTTGACAGTTGAGCGTGTTGTATTGACCGATTGGGAAAATAAAAGGTTTCGTTATTATCTATAAATTGAAACTTGGGGGCATCAAGTATCATAGATACAAGAGTCGAAGAATAATATATACATGAGTTCATATTGTGATGCTTGAGTACTCAATGCAATCTGTCAAAAATGTTCAGGTACTGAAACACCAATGATCATGAATACAACTGAGAAAATGCAATACTGACTGCATATTTGAATCCCATCTTTGGCAATACTCTCTCTCTATCTACAATCTTAGAAAAAAAAAGCATTGAGCGCGGATATGCCACTGTGTGCCTTTTCCTCCGAGATGTACATCAAAAAACTTAAAGGCAATTAGAACGACCAATCAGTACTCGGGTAATTACGATGACACGTGAGGAGCTCGACTCATGAAATCGTCGAAGAAGATCGAAAAGGCTAGAAAAGACCAGAACTCAAAACCATAGAATAGTAAACAAAATGGCATTCTTGAGATGGTATCTCACTAGAGAGCAATGTTTCAAGGAAATGTATTGAAGATGTATGACTTAAAGATTTTCAACATTCGTCTAGATTCAAAAGGGAATGATGGTCTTAAAACTTGACGCGGGGGACTATACTCGTCGATCATCTGATCGAATATTATAATGGGTAATTTGAGGCGAACATGTCAACGAGAAAGACCGGGTGGGTAGAAAAGGTTGTATTAAAGTATGACGAGGATGATGGCCTAGTTTCATACCACTAATACTAAAAACAGGAATTTTGGGTAGCTTCCATATTAATTAGTACAGGAAGTGAATAGCAATTGGGCTAATGTGCATCTAGAGGTGTATGACATGAGCTGGAATCATCACTGATTATAGTGGCACGAACGGCTTCTGTTTCCATGCAATCCGACATAACTTCGGCAATGCGGAGGCAAGATTTTAGCATGTCTGTAACAAGACATTTGTATGGGGTTTAGAAATCTTTGTATGGATGTAAAATACGTTTGTAGACAGTTTATATACAATAGACTCTTTGAATCTATTTCTTTGGTTCTTCTTTCTTCTCCTCTGGCTTGGGTGTAGGGAGTTTGAATGTGGTGGGTTTTCTATCAACACCAGGTCCGACTTGCTATTTAATTTTAGTATCATGCACTTTGATAACTCGAAAGTGGCAGGAGTGAAATTAAAACGTGAACATACCTCCCAGGCAGCAGTTCCACCCTCAAAGTTCCTGAACGCTTGAGTCAACTCCAATGGTTCCACCACAATACGTTTCTTCTCCTCATCAAATCTAATCTCCGTGTAACCTGTCAATGGGAAATCTTTCCGTAATGGATGGCCATCAAACCCATAATCTGTCATGATGCGACGGAGATCTGGGTGGCCAACAAAGAAGACACCGAAGAGGTCATAGACTTCACGCTCGTACCAGTTCGCGCCGTCATAAAGACTGCAGAGACTGGGAACGGGGGAAGCCTCGTCGGCGTAGGTCTTAATGCGAATGCGGGAGTTGTGTCGTACGGAAAGGAGGTTGTAGACGATTTCGAAACGCTGATCGCGGGTAGGGAAGTCAACGGCGGTAATGTCTGAGATTTGAGTAAATTCCGCGTTGGTATTATCTTTAAATAGTCAGCTTTCTGTGAAATGAAACCGGATAGAGTTGGCCAAAGGTACTGTCACATATTTAGGCATAAATTTCTTACATTTGAGGAACGAAAATACAGGAATTACTCCAGAAGGAGAGATGTATATAACAAGCTCGTCTTTCCATACTGAGAATTGCTGAATGTATTTTGGAAGGCACCCCATGAGCCATGATCCATATCTGTGCATATCGTCTGCCTTTGCTGCGTATTTGTCTGCAGGATTCACAGGAGGAACCCGAAGTCCTCCTGGAACATCAGGAGCTCTCTGAGCATGGCGCATGTTTGGAGTATCTGGAGAGACAACAACTCGGGCATGTTGTGTGGAGGCAAATGTTCGAATATTGAGCTTCTTAGGTTGGTACAAAGAGCTTCTGGTAGATCTAATGGCGGAGGCCAAAGCCCGACTATTCGAAACCCTCATCGCCATCTTGGAAATTGAATCGTATGAAGTTCAATTGCAAAGATTAGAAATTCATTGACGATGATATGATATTCAGATTGGTGCTTGAATGATCCTGGAAGATTAGAGATGGTGCCTGAGGTTTCTACTTTTGCGCCACTCATTGCTTCCAGCTTACATAACCGAGATTTTAGCGTGGACAAACCAAGAGCGAACATGACTTTTACACTTTAACTCAATGATCCTCGAAGAAGTTCCTACCACACCCACACTCATCTAATTGATCTCTTTTTCACTTCACAACAATACCATTACATTACATAGAATTCTACGTATCGATACCGGAAAATCCGCATCTCATACCTAGAGTATTGATAATTTAATAATACTCTCACAATACTTAACAACGCGCTGTATTCATTAGCGCACCAAAAACCATCGTATCAGAACCAAATTCATACTTTCTGGAATTTCGTCTCGTTGTTCAATCGCACATTTGAACACTCGAAATGGCACCTCAAGACAGCTTCATTGATGAAGATGATGATACCTGGTACGTTCCCATACTTCCTGTTGAGCCGAATTCAGCTTGGGCGAACTGTATCTATTGAACACTTTGCTAATCAAATTTCGACAGCCCACTTTGCGTTGAAGAATTCGATCTATCAGACAAGAACTTTCAACCATGTCCTTGTGGTTACCAGGTAATTATTGTTTCCTTGACACCGTCTGCCGGCTTGATGCTAACTTCCACTACCTTAGATATGTCAGTTCTGCTACAATAATATCAAGAACAATATCAACGGCCTCTGTCCTGCCTGTCGAAGAGCTTATGACGAGAAGACGATAAAATGGAAAGTTGTTACACCTGAAGAGTATGTAGTATCAAAGCGTCAATAAATCGACCTGCTGACCGCAATTTACAGAGTCGCTCAATTTAAGGCCAATGTCCAAAAGAACGCCAAAAAGAAAGCCGAAATAAGACAAAAAGAAGCACAAAAGCGAGAAGTGGAAAGTCTGAATCGAAAGCATCTAGCGGGTTTACGAGTTGTACAGAAAAACTTGGTATATGTCAACGGTCTAAGTCCCAGTATACGAGAGGATGAGCTCCTTCAAACCTTACGCGGCGAAAAATATTTTGGCCAGTATGGAAAGATCCTCAAGATCGTGGTCAGTAAATCCAAACAGAACGATTCAGGTCAAAATTTCGGAGTTTACGTTACGTTCGCTTCGAAGCTGGATGCCGAACGATGCATAACAGCTGTCAACGGTTCTACAAACGGTGACCGAGTCTTAAGAGCGCAATTAGGAACCACGAAATACTGTTCGGCATATCTGCGTAATGAAAGTTGCACAAACAAGAATTGCATGTTCCTGCATGAGCCAGGCGACAATGATGATAGTTACTCTAGACAAGATTTGTCATCGATTAACAGTGTGAACTCGCAACGACCTTTGCCGACCAAGGCATCTTCATCTCGCACTCAAGCACAGGCAGCACCACCAATTCAACAAGCACAGCCTTTAGCTGCCGCTGCACAACCAATGGTACGGGAAGGAAGCAAAGATGATTCAGACAATGGGGATGGCCCCGCTCTTCCATCAACCGCCAACTGGGCCAATCGTGGCGTACAGCAGCAACGCAGCAGAAGAGGAAGTCATGCTACTAGCGCTGCTGCCCCCAGTCCTGCTATTTCGAATGCTATTCCTTCTACAACTGAAGCTGTCGAAGAAGAAACCCCAGAGCTTGTTGAAGATCAAGAAGAATCATCCGAGGAAGCTAGCCCCATTGAAGCTCGAGAACCCACCCCTTCAATCGAAGATGTTTCGCATCCTGAAAAGGAAGCCTTTGGCGCCGAACTCCTTAGGTCAATCAATTCGGATGTGCTCAGCTGGGATGGACCAAAGATTCACGAAGACGATCTTGCGTCGTTTCCACCACTTTTCGATGATCATGGTGGAGAAAAGCGTCGTTTGATGCGCGAGCAACAACAGGAAGAGGAGCGTCTACACATGGAGCAGGAATCGCAGGCCGATCTTCAATCTGTACCTGAACCTGTGGAAGAACAAGAACCGGAGAGTGGTAGTTTGCAACTGGGTGGCGAGCCAGAGGATAATGGACGAGAGATCAACCACCCTCCTGGATTTCAACGTCGTCAAAGTTCTCAGCTGCCAATCCAACGTGGCTCTACCAACGGGCCATTTGGGCCAAGTCTTGGGCAACAACAAAACTACCAGAACATCAGCAATTTGGGTTCTGTTAATGGAAGATCGCTCACTCCATTGCAGCAATCACAACTCTCAATGTTCAAATCCCCATCGGGTGTCCCGCCGAGCTTCATGGATCACATTTCTTCCCCGGTTGGACTCGGAAATCCATCAAACCAGAATAACGCACTCTTCCAACAGCCAGGTCACAACAGACAATCTTCTCGGTATAGTTTCGCTGGGGATGGTGCCGCTGGGCCATCATCTATCAAACCTTCTGCCAATTCCAAGATGATGCAACAGCAAGTTTCAATGATGCCTCCTTCGAGTCATCCTCAGCAAGGATTCCAGTCATTTAATCCTTCAATCCCAGCTCCCCCTGGACTCTCAGGTCTAAAATCCAATACCCCACCTATTGGCGGAGGGATGTTTGGCCAAGGTCATGGATTTGGTAACGCGATGGGTGCCGGTTCGGCTTTTGGAGGAGCTAATAAGGAGAATGGTAGTGAGATGCTTCGTGAAATTTTGAGGGGTCGTCCTAGTGCTGGAGGCAATCAGGGTCTTGATACAAGTAAGCGTGAGTACATGTTTCCTAATTTTCTTCATCAACAGTTCCCATCTGCCTCCTCCACTCCAGCTCCTGCTTCAGGCCTTCTGGCATCGCTCTACGGTCCTCAGACCGGGGCGTTTCATGACTTCGGTCAAAAGCAGAAAAAGAAGGGAAAGAAGCACAGGCATGCTAACACTTCCTCCTCTGGGGGAGGTGGCTTAGTCGATCTTGCGGACCCAAGTATCTTGCAGGCGAGAATGCAGCATCAACAACAGAGCAATGCCGGAGTCGGACAGGGGCTGTTTGGTGGTCAGGCTCAAGGTGGGTACAACCCCAACCTAATGTATGGCGGCGGTGCAGGATTCCCCAGATGGTAGATGACCATGTTAGTTGGGCGTAATATTTGGCGTGGCTTTTGTAGATAACGATATTTCTTTTCATTTACAAGGATGGCGTTGGCAAAAACTCTTCAAAGAGTGTTGCATTGTTGCTCGGTATAGCACACATTTGTTTTAGCGGGCATGGCATAGCTCCAAGATGGATGCTTCGGATGCATTGGCGTCATATTACGGTTGGAAAATGAGTGAGAGGACCTCATGGGATTGCTGCCATCGTTTCTTTTCTGTTTATTTCGTCTGGGTGCGCAACAAGATCAAAACAGGTCACGCCGGGAATTCCATCATCGTCTTCGTCGCGGCCGCTTCTCTCATGTACGTTATAGTCCCCGCTCCCACGCCAACGACAGTGGCTGGAGAAATATATCATTCTTACATATTTTGTACCTTCAGTAGCCCGCTCTTTCAATTATCGAAGACGATGATGGATTCGTGATGTGACCGTGTCCCTATCTTGTAGTAGCATTGTGCATTAACCGATGATGCTCCTTTAACCTTACCGCCCACTTATCACTTCACATTTGCTCACTTTAATGGAGACACGCTAACGTTAACTTTGTTTAGAAGATTCAACTTTCGATGAAAGCATTTTGCACAGTGTGGACGCTTTGGTGTCAGACAGTGTACCGGATGACTCACCCATGAGATATGGCGAAATGTCCCGAGAGGTGTCTCGATCGAGTACTCCGGCTTTTCCACCTGGGCTACCAAATCCCCATGGACATCCTCCTCCAGCAATTCGCGAAGATCCAATTGGAAAGCCTTCTAAAACAATTTCAGCGGCTGCTCCGTTCACACCATCGAGACAAGCTAGCATGGTACACCCTCCCCGTGTTGCCACTCCACTTGCCATGTCTCAACCATCAACGCCTTCTCCTGTCAAGTCTAAAGCTTTACCTGCCCCTACCCCTGAGATATCAGCGTCTGAAGCAAAAACAAAACATGAAACAAAAAACATTTCTTCTAGTATGCCAAGGGATACTGCAGGTCAGTCTAGTACAGTGCCTGTAGTTCCGACGACCCCTTTGCGCCCTGCAGCAATCACTCCTGCAACTCCAACGCCTTACTCCAACGATGATTTTCCAGCCCTTGGGTCACAGAAGGAAACCAAACCTGCACCTAGGAAAGTTTCAAAACCAGTTGCCTCCTCTTCGAAGGCGCCATCTACACCAAAACCCTCGAATGCCCAGAAGGTTGCTAAGGCGAGCGAACAGAAAACAGCGCCATCTACTTTGACCATTTCAGCTTCCACGAATCCTGCTACTAGTATAGTAGACACTCTTGAGAAACCCAGTCAAACTGTTGCTCCAACGTCAGGTTTTCCCGCGCTACCAGCGCCTTCGACATCGACAGTGAGATCTAACTTCGTTCTCAAAGTTTTGACCACCAGTCCCGCTACACCAAAGGGGGGCACGGCTCCAATGGGAAGCCCTGCTCCAACTTCTGCAACATCTGTAGCTCCGTACCCCGCACATTTTCCTGATAATACCAGTGAGCATGACAATGCGTCTCTCATGTCCGCAACAGCTTCGAGAGCGAGCTCACCTGGTCCGTCTAGGAATGGACAGCCGCGACCTACTCGCAACACGGCAAAAACAAAAAGGGATAAGGCTGCAAAGAAGGAACAGGCTCTAGAAGAGCAAATGGCAGCTGCCGCTGAAGCCAAGAAAGTTGGAGAACAAGAGCCAATTATGGGCAGAAAGACGAAGAAGAGGGATAGACCGAATGCTAACAGTGCACCTAATGCTTCTGCTTCGGCGCCTAGCAGACCGCCATCACCTCCGCCTGCAGTGATTACCCGTGAGGAAAGTAAACCCGTAGAACCTATCGCGCCAGAAAAGCCTGTTTCAACTGGCAGCGACAAACCTGTCAATAAGAGTGAGGGAAAAGGCAAGAATAAGGCAAAGGCGCAACAACCTACGCCTCCACCTGAGTCGCCACAGGTTCCTGTTGTCGAAGATGAGGAGATCGTAGAAAAGCGCACAGGTCCAAGTCCAGCCAGCCTTGCTCCTTTTGTCTCAAATTTATCTGAGATATTGAAAACTCCACCTGGTATCAGTAATGAGAGGAAGAGAGAGAAGGATAATTTTGGACCAGCTTTCGCCGAAGCGCTTGCAAAACTTGATGTAAGCCCTGAAGAACGGGCCGAGTTGAACGCGGGAAATACTGTTCACAAGATTGCTTCAGGATCAATACGAATCATGTTGACACCTAATGGGGACTGTGTTCGCAATCTTACTCCTGACGAAGAGAAGCGATACTTGGAGCTTCAAGCAAGAATTGCAGCTAATGCCGGTCCTACTGCATTTGTTTCCGGACTGCAAAACACAGGCGTTGGATTTAATTTGGTTGGCGGTCGCGCGGTTCCGAATGGACCTGCTTCATACTTCCCCACATCCATTTCCACCGGCAATACTACACCTATGGATGCAGTCAGCAAGATCCAGCGTGATGAAGCTTTGAATTACATTAACCAATATGTTTTACCATCTCTCTCTAACAATCCCCAGTTAGAAAAGGCACTCAGTGCGAATGTTTTGGCAGGTGAAACTGCACTTCAAGGGGGCGAGACTTCCAGCTGGTCTCCTTTGAATGGAAACAATCACGCTCCAGACTTTCATGACATGGACCTCAACGATAGAGTTGCAAATTATACCGCTGGTTTTGTGGGGCACCGAAATCCTGATGATGGACGACAGGATCGAAATGTCCAGTTACTAACTGAAAAGGAGTCCGAGTCCGCAATGCAAATCGCAAAGAAGGAGACCCAAGAGTTGGAGAAAAGACTTCTAGCTGTATTGAAGAAAAACAGAAAGCTGCTGACGGGACATTGAATAGGATGTTCTGTGTAAAGGTAGATCAATTCTCTCAGAGCAACATTTTCATCTGCGAGATAGAGGTCCATCTGTTCTTCATTTAACACGATGACCCTGAAGACTCGAGTGGAAAAATGGTGGAAAGGATGATGAGATGTTGACGATGCAACGAATTGTATGATTATTATGTGTGTGTTTACCACTGTATTGATACTTGTATGGATTATAGGATGGACGTGTGGGTTCACGTCGTAGTGTAAGAGCACCGATTATGGAGAGTTTATGGAAGATGGCAAGGGCGCAAGTCATCAATCATACACCACAAGCACCGATTGCTTCTAGCGTGATTTTTATGATCTTAAAGATCGATAGCAATACCTTTTTACTGTTGTATCATAGCATAGTATACCATAGCATAGCAAATCGACCATGGAATTTCTATCTAGCAAGTTTGCTTTGCACTACCTAGTATGTTGTATTTTATTGCAGTGAGCATGAGATTTTCAATGTCATTAGAGCATGTACTCACACGAGTCATTCTTACCCGAGTGTATTTCCATTGCGCTTAACAAAATATACAGATTAATATCACCGTCTATATAGTCTCCGCCTCCCACGTGGAGATGTTGCAATCCCTGTTCACGGATATTTGGTGGGGCAGGAGCGGCATTGGCGGGGTAGTGTTTTGAAAAAAAGCCGAATCCAAACTGATTTCGCCATACAGGAAGATTTTAATTCGATATAAATTGTCTCGGGAACCCTCATTCCTCGATCTCTTTTTTGTTCACCAACGACACTCTGAACAAGACCAATATGGCCGAATCACTTCCTACCACTTTCTCTGGTATGTAGAAGATCGTAACCTATCCATCACCCAATATCCTACTCTATCCTATCTCCCCTCTTTCCTTTTTCACCCCAAAGATCTGCCAGTCTATTGCATTTCATTTCATTCCATTCCATTCCCAAACTAACAAATTTTTCCCCCTCCAGACCCTGTTCACATTGCCGTAATCGGTGGTACCGGTCTCCAATCCCTCGAAGGTTTTGTCCCAATCGCAACCCTCAACCCACTCACCCCCTGGGGCTACCCCTCCTCCCCCATCCACATCCTCTCTCACAACTCTACCCCCGTCGCCTTCCTCTCTCGCCATGGTACTCACCACGAGCTTGCCCCCCACGAAATCCCAAACCGCGCCAACATCGCTGCTCTCCGCAGCATCGGTGTCCGAACCATCATCGCATTTAGTGCGGTGGGTTCCTTGCGCGAGGAAATCAAACCCCGCGATTTCGTAGTGCCAGATCAGGTTATTGATAGAACAAAGGGAGTGCGTCCTTTTACCTTTTTTGAGAAGGGTGTTGTAGGACATGTGGGTTTTGCGGATCCTTTCGATGAGAAGATTGCGAAGGTAGTGAGGGAATGTGGACATGCACTCGAGGGAGAGGGAATTGTTTTACATGACAAAGGAACGATCGTTTGTATGGGTAAGTTGCCTTTCCTAATGTTTTCCTTTCCCCTCGTAGAAATTACAAACTAATCTTTCCTCCACCAAATAGAAGGACCCGCCTTCTCCACCCGTGCCGAATCACACATGTACCGTTCCTGGGGCGGTTCCGTGATCAACATGTCCGCTCTTCCCGAAGCCAAGCTCGCGCGCGAAGCTGAAATGGTCTACCAAATGATCTGTATGGCAACCGACTATGACTGCTGGCACAGCACAGCCGATGTAGATGTGGAAATGGTCATGGGACATATGCATGCCAATGGACAGAATGCGAAACGATTGGTTGGAGCAGTGCTTGATGCATTGAGTAAGCAGGAACATAGTGAGATGGTTTTGGCGAAACATTGGGAAGGAAACACCACGGGCATGATTAGATTTATGACGAAGGAACAGGGAAGAGGAGAGGAGGGAAAGAAGAACGTGGAGTACTTGTTTCCGGGGGTGTGGGATGCTTAGATGGACGATTTGTGAAAATGTGAGGAGAATTCATGCAAGGGAGGGATGGATGGGCTTTGTGCATTTTTGATACCTGGATGCATCAACGGCATGCATATACGCTGAAAAATATAGACGAGATGGACTCAATATTCACTTTTCACCATAACACGTGAAACAACCTGTTAATTCTCAATGCTGGTAAATGATGCTCCGCGTAGCTCATCTAGTATTTACTTGTTCGCTATTTATTGAGGAACAGCCGAAGACGAATCGAATGCTGTTATCATAATCAAATTTATACCAAAATTTCTTTTCTCTCTTCACGCCATTTTTGAACGCAGCTAACATATAAACAATCCATGACATCCAACCCACATCAACAATGGGTGACCATGTACATATAGAAAAGAGGAACCCCAGGGTATCTATCAACATCCCACAAAAGAAACGGCACCGCCACTATCAACTCATTTAACGCAATCCAATTTAATATATCCCACCACCATCTTCCCGAATCGCCATCCAATTGTTCGCCGGATCCCTTTCTGACAGAAACAGCCTATCAAAGTAACATATACAAAGCTTTGACCGCCTTCTCCGCAGCCGCAACATGCCAAGGTCTCCCGTCTCTGACAGGATGCACCACGCCTCTGACCCTTGCCAAAGTAGCCAATCCCCTATAATAACCTAAAATCTCCCTTAACAAAGTATCGTGAAATGTGCGCGGATTTCCTACAACCTCCGCATGGATGATATTGACTTCCAATACTATCGGCGGATCATCGGTGCTCGTACCGCTATTTTTTAAGAGGTAGCCGGAAATAAGAGCAGGATTAAATTCGAGAAGAGAATTTGAATTGTTGAGGCGATGAGAGAGGATTGCACCCCAAGTTTGATCTGTGACATCTAGGAGACGAGAGCTTTGATCATCGGGTTCGGGAGGAACAGCGGGTGTAGATGTAGATGGTGCTTCGGAAGGGGTAGGGGCATTCGTTGTTGGTGTTGATGCATTGCCCGGGGAGAAGACCGAAGATTGAGATGCTTGAGGTGTGGAGACGGGCGTCGTAGCGGACTGTGATGTTGTCATCGATGGCAGCGGAATTTTTGTTTGTGGGGGCAATACCCTTAAAGATGGGTCTGATTGTACAGTGACTAGTGTGAGACTGATCGAACCATTTGATTCTGTGGAGGCAAGACCTGTCCAAAAATCGATTTCAGATTGTTCCATCACAGCAGTCTTTGCAATGATTATACGCCAGTGAACCTTTTTGCTGGAGATCAAGTCAAGAGTGGTCTCCCAGATTTCATTCGCAACATCCGTAAAGAGAAGAGTGAATGGCTCGTTCTTCCGGCCAAGGCAATATGAGGCTGTCATCTGTTTGGTGCCCCTATTATCTGACCATGCGGCAGTAATCCATCGTTCGTCGATACTTTGAGCATAAGCAATATGAAGACATGAGTTCTCTTGCAACAATGCAGGAGATGGATTGATATTCAACTTAAAATCAATGTTCCGGGGAAGAGGTTTCTCTAGAAGAATAGCTGCTGTAGTGGAAGATGATACGAAATCTACACAGCGATCATATACTTCCATAGCAAGACGTGAATATTCCGCCGGCGACGGTACTACTAATGAATTAGGAGCAGCCATAAAATCCAACGGCACAAGCTGCAGCACCAATTCGTTGTAAATTTTCAGCTTTTTTTCGGACAACGACTTCCTGTAGACCTTGAACAGGTGCTTGAAAGCAGTGCAGATATTCACGAGTAGAGACTGATTATTGAGAGGATAAACGAAGTATACAACGACATTTTTCTCTTCCGCAGTCATAGTTGATAGATTCTTGCCCAACCGCGTCAATACATCTTTAAGCGAGCTCAGGTAAGCTGCCTTATTTGTATTGACATCGCATGGGTAATTCAGAAGGCCGCTAGGTGAGTCTGGAAACATAATACGATCGTGTCCTCCAAATCTGAATGACTCATACGCCCCTCGCATTTGATCGAGGAAGATATCAGCATTCTCATTGATGCCTACGATATTGGGATATATGCAAACAGCGTTAACATCTTTGTTTCCTGTGTAAGGCGCCAGCCCTAAGTTATCCCAAAAGTGTATTGCGGGAGGTAGAACTGCCAACTTGGAGTCGCCTCTACGTACTTCAAGCTGTGGAGGTTGAATGGGAAATAGATTGCTAGATTTTGAAGGATCCGTATGCTGTGCTGCTCTAGGATTTGGCATGGGTCGGCCCTGGGGTGGTAAACGCAAAGCCGCATTTACAGCTGGAATCCCAGGGATGGTAAGGTATGACTTCAGAGTACAATTTTTGACATCTTTCAAGAACACCTTCGTAGCTTGCAAGACATCAGTCATTAGTCTTCTAGTAGCAAAGGTAGCCTGGTCATGGGCGTCCGGGTTCTGACTTATTCGATCGTTCACACGAAGAGACCCTGAAGCAGCTTGATCTGCAATGATTTGGGCCGTTTCGATCAAGTCTAGATCCGATAACCCGCTAGGCTGAATATCTGGTTCGGGGGAGGTAAAATACGGCGTTAGAGACCAATCTGCGGGATCAGATTCGAAAATCGGAATGTGTGGTTCGATCACTGACTGTGGAGTCCCTGCGGAGGGTTCATATTCTCCGGTAAAAGCGTTGTATGAACTTATACTGGCCTCATCAAAATAGCGTTTTCCTTTCATGCCGAGTTTAACCATGGTCGAAACCCCTACTGGTGGTGTCTCGTCAGATTCCGATGCGTCGCTTATACTGTTAGAATCGCTAGCAATATCTAGCTCTGCTTCATTATCTAACTCAAATTCATACTGCGCATTGTCATTATTCAGAATTCGAGTCAACACATCAGATTCGTGTGCTTTATTCTCACTTTTTCGTCTACCAAAAGATTCTGGGTTCGTAGGATCGTGCGGCTCTACAAGCTGTGGTTTCAGATCATCATCGGAATATCGAAATCGCCCATTACAACCATACTTCTCATCAACCTCTGTTAAAGAGTATTCAAATTTGACTTCATCGAATACGCTGGACTCGCTAGATGACTGCGATTTCGATTTTCGTTTTCGTTTCCGTCTTGCCAACTGGCCGAATACTATTTCTTTGTCGAAAGGAGCCACAATGCGTGGTGGAGAGGGTGGTCGAGCAGAAGCTATCAAGCTGTCGTTATTGTTTGACATTTCCACATCCAAATCCATTTCTGAAGTTGAGAAGCGCTGGTCGAACGTGGGTTGTTGTATGTTGTTCTCTGGCTGAGAATCCTTCATGATTGTATCCTTTGATATTGGTTGAGGCACTGATGGCTTACTGGGAACGGATAACTTTTCAACAACCTTATGTTGATGAGCAGGAGGCAAATTAGGTTCGACCGGGGATCTTGACTGATGATCCATTTCTATGTCATCAGGTTGGTCGAAAAAGTTGAAGTCGGCATCCGTGATGTCTGTATCGCCAAACAAATCTCCTCCCATGTCTCCAAAGAGATTATCATTATCATTGTCATTTTCTCCAAAGTTCATATTGGAATTTGAGCGATGTTTCTGTTCTGAAGTTACCCAGTTATCAGTGTCCGCGGTGTTCATGATGGATGTGCTGGGATTAGTTGCTTCGTGATCATGCGGGAATAAATGGGTAGGGTTCCCAGGCGTTGTGACTGCACCGTCGAATGATGGCGTTGGTCCCCCAGGGTGATGTATGGCATCTGGAGGTGTGGGATACATTGCGCCAGCATTGCTACCCTTTTCCAGTAATGCTGTAGAATGGTTGTTTGCTCGAATGATTTGGGCTTCCTGATCAGCCTGTTCTTTAGCAGCCTTTACGACATTCCGCTCCTGCTGCCTATTCGACATGATCCTCGCCCTTTCTTCGGCGTTAATAGACCATTCTTCTACAAATGTCAGAGGATCTACAAGCCCGAAATAATTCGCACTTGAAGGCTGCAGGTCAGTTGTAGAAGTTTTGATGGCCCTGAAGCATAACAGCGTTGGCCAAGGTACAATAGCACCTTCATCGGAAGAAGATATATCTGCGTATTCGGGGTTCGAAGATCCATAATTAGCATTTAGCACCTGCACAAACATCCATCCTCCTTCTTCGATTGAAGTTGAATCAAAACCCTTGGTCGACAACCAATCCAAACATCGAGATTGCCAGGACTTGATTGTCGTTCCATAAAAGCGCCAGCTTTGATCTTCAGGATATTTTTGTAAATCCGAAATAGGTTGAATTCCGGGCAGTTGCTCATCGTCATAAAATGAGTAAAATTTCGCTGGGTTTCCCCCTGGCGCTAGCCATAATTCAGTACCCTGGGATAAAGTTCTTTGGAGCTTCTCTGGGCTTGAGTGGCTTATACTCTGAAGACCAGGGGTGACGTAAGAACAAGCTTTTACCATTAGGGTACCCAGAGAAGTGAGACTGATGTCTAAATCAACCAGAGTGACTGTGTCGTCAGAAACCTTTGGAGATTGGTAATATGCCATTGATCTAGATGGTGATTCTGAGGGGAGAAGTAAGGTCCGTGAGTTGAGAGGAATCAATGCGTGGTCGTTGCAAAGCCTATACATGATGGAGCCCTGAACGGATGATATGAAGTGCTCCTGGACTTCTTTCAGAAACGCAAAAGTGTCACCTAGACTGGCCACGGATTTAACACCAGGAGATGCTCCTGCCGGATCATGTAGATTCTGGGCCGAATTTGCTTGCATAGCCCTTGCATTGACATTCTGTGCATTGCGTAGTGCATTTTCGAGAGGTGAAGGCGAAGACGTGCTACTGGGGGTGTTCAAACTAGCTGCGAGTATGGATTTGTTCTTTGCAAGGTAGGAAGGTTCATATGTTCCTTTATCCTTCTTCAACAACTCGACACCTTGCACAGTAGGAAGGTTGGCTTGGCTCAGTAAATCGTCCCCTTCATCGAGAGCTTTGTTCGGGGAATTTGGGCTTGGTTGAAAAACCCAGATCCCTTCTCGTTTTGCGTCGTAATATACTAAAGTGCCGTGTTTCCTCCAAGCGGTTTCCACGTCTTGTAAATGCTTTTTTGCTATAGAGGAAGGCGATTGCCATTGGGTTTCGAAATATTCATAGGTTATTGATGCAAAATTGTCCTGAGTAGATGTTAGCTACAAAGTTTATTCGAGTCGAATCGAGCAAGAATCCTTACACAACACAATACATTGGTAGGTTGATCCCCGAGATCCATATCGTAACAGGTCGTAACTCATAAAATGAACATGCAAAACAGCCGATGTAATGCGCCGATCCCCCCCTCCTCCGCGACAAGCTATTTTTCCCCTTTATGCAGCCCAAATGATCTCGTTTATATAACCAAGTAAGTTTGTTGATGATCCTATCGAATCAAATCGGTAAATCTTAGTTGTTTGAGTCGGGGAGCTTGAGTTGGACTCGCAGGGCTCCATCTCAAAATGAAGATGTCGGCTGTCGCAGTGGCTGGCTGTTCAGCAAGGTGCGACTGAATTGTTGTTACAAATCGCGAAAAGCAATCAAAAGCTGAGCACAGAGTAGAATCGCAGATGAATTGGGTATCTTGAAAGCATTGAGACAGCGAAATATAATGGTCCAAAGTATTGGGCAGGTGGTACCTGTATTTGACGATAGTCTCAATAGTCTACAAGAGTTATTGATAACATGGTTTCGGGGCATCGTCAAAATTACCGATTACTCGGACTAAGCAATTAAATTGCGCTACCCTGATTTTGCCCCAGCTCGCCCAGCTATTATTTGTTCGAACAGGCTGATTTATCCCTGTCAGCATGATTTGATAAATCCGCTTTGCCGCTGCGGCCGTCGCGGCCGCCGGCTGAAAGTATCGCCGGACGCCGTGCTTTTTCGATAAGAAAATAATTTCTAGAGCCGACATTTAATTTTCTCATTTTGAAGCCGTCTGAATGCGACATCTTTCACAAGATGGCAAATTGAAACCGAAACATCTATCATTGAGAATAACAACCTAATTTGATCTCATCAATCTCTCAACATGAAGCTCACAAACCCAAATGATGTACCTGTGTACACCATTTCGGGTGCTTCCACTGCACGCCCTCTACCTGACTGGCTTGCTCGCAAAAGAAAGCGTAGTTTGAAAAACGATCCAGAATATGCCAACCGCGTCGAACTTTTACAGGATTTCGAATTCGAAGAGGCTAGCTCTTGTATAAGAGTTAGTGAGGATGGGGAATGGGTTATGAGTACTGGCACATATAAACCGCAAATCCATACACATTATCTTCCTCATTTATCGCTTTCATTCGCAAGACACACAACAACCCTTAATCATTCCTTCATTCTCCTGTCTAGCGATTACACAAAATCGCTTCATCTACAAACCGATCGTAGACTAGAATTTCATACACAGGGCGGATGTCATTATCAAACTCGATTGCCTCGGTACGGGCGTGACCTTGTCTACGATAGAGCATCGACGGAAGCATTAATACCTGCAGTTGGCGTTAATGCAGACGGTCTTGGAGAAGTATATCGATTGAATCTCGAAATAGGACGTTACATGAAACCATACCAAATTGATGTTGGCGGTGATGACCTGACGACTTCCGGCGGCGGCGCTTTACAAGGAGGCATAAATACTGGAAGTGTCAATTGTGCATCTATTGCCGAAGAAAGTCATAACCTCATGGCTTTTGGGACGTCAATTGGTACGGTGGAGTTTTGGGATTCAAGATCCAAAGCAAGAGTAGGAATTCTCGCGGGTCAACAAGGAGGAATTACTGCGCTTGATTTCGACAGATCGGGAATATCGATTGCGACAGGATCCTCCGAAGGAATAGTACAATTGTATGATCTTCGACGACCTGTGCCAATCTTGACTAAAGATCAAGGATATGGTTATGCGATCAAGACTTTGATGCACATGACCACTTCTTCACAAGAAAAGAAAATCTTATCCGCAGATAAACGAATCATCAAATTGTGGGACGAAACAGATGGAAAAGCCTGGACATCGGTCGAACCAGCAGTGGACATCAACTCAGTAGCGTGGTGCAAGAACAGTGGTATGCTCCTCACGGCCAACGAAGGAAAGCAGCAACATGCCTTCTTCATTCCACAACTGGGTCCCGCACCCAAATGGTGTTCGTTCTTGGATAATATGGTTGAAGAAATGGCAGAGGAGGCACCAAGTGAAACTTACGATAATTACAAGTTCTTAACAGTACCGGAACTCAAAGCTCTCAACTTGGGCCATCTCATCGGAACTACCAATCTTTTACGACCATATATGCATGGTTACTTCGTGGCTTCTAAGCTCTACGAGCAAGCCAGGTTGATTGCTAATCCTTATGTCTGGGAAGACGAGAGAACCAAACGAGTCAAGGAGAAGGTCGAGAAGGAGCGAGCCAGTAGAATCAGAGGTGGCAAGAAGGTCAAGGTCAACCAGAACTTGGTCGATAAATTACTCAAGAAACAAGAGCGTAGGGAGAAGGTTGATGAGAATGCTGGTCTCTTGGGTGACTCGCGTTTCGGCAAGCTTTTCGAGGACGAAGACTTCGCTGTTGATGAGCGTAGCAGAGAGTTCCAAGCTCTCAACCCTAGTACTAAGGTTCCCGGTGGTGGTGAGGAGACCAAACAGCGCAAGGTCAATAGTGAGGATGAATCAAGCGATGGTGAAGATGAGGTTGTGTCGAAGCCTAAGCCAGCTGCTGAGATGCGTATTTCTTCCTCGTCTTACAAGAAATCGGGTCATCAACGTAAAGACAATGCGTTGGGAGCCCGCAAACAAGGCACTGGTAGGGTTAGCAAAAACAGGGGCGATGTTGTTGGTGAGCGTTCGGTCACATTCGCTCCTGCTGGTAAAAAAGATAAAGAGAAGACAGAAGACAAGCCTGCCAACAGCAGGAGTAGACGCGAAGATGCAAGACGAAGCGCCAGTGGAAACGTTTTCAGAAGATTGTAATAGTCCGAAGTTGAGACTTCATGATACCCCTTTCATAATACATAAAATGAGAATTTTCAAGCGCCAAAATTCAAATACCTGCAAACTATGCCTCCCACAAAAACAAATGCCATTGTTCGCAGAACGAAGGGATGATCCACAAACGTTATCCAATTCATATCAATCATTCCATGGGTATCAAATATTTATACATCAAAACACAAAACAAAAGCCGTCCCAGCAGCTATCACCACCATCTATCTTTCACTTCTCATCTTCCGCGCCCATTTCGATTTCGGCGCATCCGACAATTCGAATTCCATCATCTTCCCTTCCCCTTTCTCCACATCGTTCACACTCACAAATGTCTTCGATATCTTGGGCGTGGGCGGTACCTCGTCTATTCTCTCCAGTCCACGGCCCCCGGGTCTTTTATGCACGTCTTTACCAAATGTAGCTCTTCTGGGTGTTAAGGCAACGGCTACTTTGCGTGCCGAAGCCCGTAGCTTCTTGCGCACCTCCCAGGAACGTTTCTTGGCGAGATAAAACAGTGTTGCTGAAATTACTATCCATTATGTTAATTCCTCGTCGTTTCTTTGATAAAAGAAGGGATTCATACTTCCAAAGAGACACACGCCAATCACGGCAATAATAATCGCAATCATAGCTCCATTCGATAATTGAACACCACCACTCGAAGTCCCAGACGCACCTGCATCACTATCAGCTCCGGCACTTCCGCCCGTACTCGCGGCATCGCCGGCTGGTGGGTTGTTGGGGGCTGAGGGCTCGGATGTTGCAAGTGCGGCAAAAAACGAGGAAACGGAGCTGGAGGACATGGCTGGAGTAAGGGATATGGAGGTCGTATGTGATGGGGACGGTGTTTCGGCTGACAATTGAGACTCTGAGGAACTTGTAGCAGTACTTGACACAAGTGTAGATGCGGTAGATATGAGTGCCGAAGTAGAAGTAGACGTTAAGAAGGAATTTTGAGCAAAAATTACATCAGGAAAGAAAGAGAGGAGAACAAAAGTAAGGGGGACAGTGGACCTCATAGTGAAATGAAATACTAGGTAATCCTTGAATCAAAATCTCAAATATAAAAACTCAAATGTAGAACGCTAGACTCCTGTTGAAGAATCAAAGAAACCAATGACATTCAAGGAAAGGATGAAGAAGAAAAAGATTAATGAAACCCCTGACGCCGTGATAGTGATAGTGGCATACAGAAATTGAGACAGCTAAAGAAAAAGACAAATCAGATAGGAGATGAAGAAACCGAATGGTGTGATTAAATGACGGGAGGGAGGGGATATATTTATTCCTTGCTCCATTTTTGTAAATTTATGGTGCACAGATGGCTGTAAGCGCTATTGTATACTTTGCTACATGATAGCTTAATTCTGCTACTGGAGATATCCTCGGTGTGGTCGCCGAATGGGTGGCTTCTATTTGTATAGCTCTATATCCATACTCCATACATGAGTTTCACACAAAAATAGTGGTATAAGGGTTGCTGCAAATAATATTGCATGAAGTGTAGTTCGTTTGTTTGATTCGTGGAGGGGACTATTTTAAGCGCCAACATATTGGCGCTAGTAATTATCGACCTATGGGGAAAGGGGATGGGGTTATAATTGCATGCTTATTGCCTTGGTGACTGCCGAGAATCTTTATTTCTGCGGGAGTGAGAAGAGATGATTTTGGAGTGGCTGTGAAGACTTGAGAGTGATGTGGTGAGACGGTCTGAGTTGGGGATTTGTGAGGGAAAGCAGAGGGATTGGTTAGGGGACTTTGGTAAGATCTTACATGTGTGTGGTTCGGTCGGTAGATTTCCGATGATATTTTGGAAGAAACATGTATTGTATTGTCCCCCGCGCAATATAGAACTACACGCAATATCAAAGCAGGCTGGGATGTTTTAATACTCTTTTACTTACATACATACAGTACAGCATTCAAATATTCCGCAAGATGTGCAACATATTTGATTTTGATGATGTTGATTGGATCGAGAGATGATATAAAATGAGGCCAAGCTTGAGAGGAGCTTGGGAAATACTTTTAAAGGTAGATGCGTTTCGGGTGCTCGTGGTTCTGCCAGAACTTTAGGTAGGTGGTTGGATTTGAGGCGTCGGGAAAGATTATGTGATGGGTAGTTACACGTATGTGTCGTTTGATCGATATCAGAATTGGAGACACTTGAGATACATTTGGAAATTTTGGCTGGAATGTAGTGATTTTCCAAACAGATCTGGATATTGCTGATTCATGGAGCGTTTGAAGAGTTTTCG